CTATCAAATGTTATCAAACGGCTATTTTGCGGAACCACTGTTCACTGCCTCTTCATGTGGACACCAAGTTTACTAAGTGTGGAAGTACATGCTTAGGCCTACTAATCGAAATCACTTGGTCATCGTATGAAATTATTACGTTAGAACACAATGCATTTGAAATATCATTTGAGAAGTAACGATTAATCTGCTCTGTAAATTTATTGTTGTAGTTATTTTTGAAATAGTTTAGTTACTGTTTGTGCTATACGTATTAAAAATGTTAACATGTACTTCAAAATAACAGATGATCATTGTTATAACTGAGATTAAACTGAAAATAAATTTGCTAAAATTAGACGTGATTGTACACACTTGGCAAAATTCGTTATTGTAATGTTAAAAAACGCAAAGAAAAAATAATGAATTACGTTACAATTAAATTAAAAACTAAAACAGTAAAAAATGTAGAAAATTAATGAAAAGGTTATAAAATGAAAGGAGTATGTATAAAATGAATCAGACACAGTTAGAACAATCTCCAGTTAGAACATTGTCCAGTTAGAATTACAATCTCCAGTTAGAACATTCTCAAAAGGAAACAAGTGTTTCACTTTATACGGCATGAAAATCAAAAATCGTCACGGGATTCGATTCACTTGTAACAGGAAATACTAGCGCAGCAAATAATAATTCAGAGAGAACATCAACGTGTAAACCGTTTTTACGGTCAAACAGTGTACCTACAGGTACATGTTAAGGGCGTTTCTCATTGTGCTTGACTTTGTAACAACAGTGCAATTTCTGTGTCTATTAACTCACGTGTGATCAGATCTGTCATTCATTAAAGAAAGATTAATCGACATTCTCTGAGAAAAGTGACTTCTAAAAAATTGGTTTGATTAGAATCAATTAGCATGGTCGGCTATACAGGCGCGTGGTTTTTCACGAAGTCTATGTGCCGTAAAAGCTTTAGTTTCAAATAAACGGTGACAAATTGGCAAAGATTCACGCTGTGCATTTGACTACATAGGGCCTAGCTCCAAACCTGTCCCTTCATCCGCTTCGAAAATGCACGGTTCGGATAACTCAAATTTAAAATAAATACAACATCGGAGGTTAGGTAAAAAGAAGGAGAAGCAACAAATGCATAATTTAAAAGTTTTGGACTTACGAAATATGTGAGGGTACAACTAAAGACGATTCCTTCGCGGGTCGTGTGTTACCGATAATGGGCTGATCAACAGTTACAACCAGTGCTCTGTAGCCAGCTACCTCGGCCTTTCTGACCACCTCTTTCATCCGTGACCTATCGCGAAGGAAGTTGAGCTGATGGAACAGTGGTGTGTTCGGCTGCACTGTGCTGGCAACATCCTCTGATCTCTTATTGGACCACATACTGTGGATCATGACAGAGCCTACGCTACAGACGCCTATTCGAAGACAACGAAACAATATAAATTAGGTCCTACATACGTGTACCGCTCTCAAGGGTGACCCTAGTGTTGAGATGACATGTATGACAAACGGCAAAAAATCGACAACTTTGTTTCAAACACCGAGTCCTTATTACCTTTAGCTGTCGCAATTTCTCCATCAGGGTGTGCAAATCCGTGGGCAGCCACGGGAGACACTCCAACTGGAAATGCAATATAGTGACCTAACACGCTTGTGGAAGTGATACGTTGAGAGACGTCTCTCAGACACCGTGGTCGGAGGCGATACCTGTTTGTATTCAATCATATTGCTGTTTATTTCAAGATTTTCTTTCAAAAAAAAATTGTCTCGAATTGAAAATTTTCTCTCTGCTCTGCTGGGCTACAAAGCATGAACCGCTTTCCAGTACAGTCTAAAAAACACGTAAAGTTAATGTAATGCTACTATAGCTGTTGCCTAAGGATGTTTATGGATCTTTACACATAAGAGTACAGTTTGGACGGTACTATATTTTGTATTGATTGTAATCTGCACCGTCGACATTTTGAGCTGTAGGCCTAATTGGGGCGTCCATAGGCGCGACAAGAAAAGCCGAAATAGGGGCAATTTACTAAAGTGCGCCTCCAAGAGTTTGCAACGCATCTGACAATGACAATACGCGAAATCTGTCGACCCAGTACGCGTTTGGAAAGGGTCAACCGATTTCGTGCATTGTGCATGTGGTGATCGCCCAACGCGTTGCAAACTCTTGGAGGCGCACTATTGTTAATCGCCCGTATATTAAAACATAACACTTGCCTTTGAAAAGCAAACTGATTATCTTTCATTGTCTGCTCGTCATCAGCACCCGATCTGAAGTATTGCCACACGGTGTCGGGAAGGCTTTCTTTCAAATACGGCTCAAAGGCAACAACGCAAAGGGGCAGGGATACCATGGCGGTTAACAATCTCACCTCTACCCGGCGTTTGCGCACCTATCGTTCAAACAAACGACTGTCGTCCAGTGATAGATCCATGGTTAAGGGAACCCACTCCCACCCCCAAAATTGTGCATAATGCACGATAATGATTTAATTATCAATCGTTATTCATTCCTAACTTTCGCTTCACCTCAAATTAAGTATTCACAGACCCTGTAATTTGCATGTTCCGTGTCTAAACAATAACCTGGAATAATATCTTAAAAATTTTTCACATCATATTGTACATGTATGCCAGTCTAGCAGAAAAAGGTTCCCGGATTGTTTGGATGTTTTGCAGTGGCAAAACACAGAAGTACAACATTTACACGGCAAGAGTTTCTAGGCCTATTCAGAGGTTTAACCGTAGCAAATGCCGTGACGGTTGATTCATGCATGGGCCAATTCTCAGAGCTGCTAAAGTACAAAATTTGCTGAAATGCCAAAAGGTTACCACACTCTGTGTGATTGTCCTGCTAACCAAATAACATGTAAATAACATTCCAAACAATATACATTACAATTGAGTTGTGATTGGTGATAGGTGATCTGTACTTGTACTGACTCGTGATGGATTATGCACATATACAACACCTAATACCTGGCCGGCTAGGCTGCGCGGAAAGTGGACGGTGACGTTTTCAGACTTTACATAGCTTTTCGCGTGTTTTTTTTTTACATTCTAGGTTCTATGTATGGTTCGGGCACCAGACTAGCTACACTAGTCTTGTTGGACCCGGCACATGGTGCATGATATATGGAAACATTTTGAGATGACTGTACTTTGTATTTTGTATGACCTACAAATCCTTCACATCCTACAAATTGGTAACCTGCTTCTATTATATCAATCGAGGAACGTAAACCAGTGAATAGTCAGAAGCCATTGCGGAAGTTTTGTTCGAAGAATATTATGAAGGTGCCAGGTACAAGACTACCCCCTTTCCGCGTCGCTGAATTTGCACATGGTTTCACGTTTTACACGATATCTCCTTGCGCTCGTTCCTTTCACATCAAACTTCATAGACCTGGAGGAGAAAAAACAATTACTTACAGATATCCTCGCATAGTCCCCTCCTTCCTCCATGCATCGTCGCACTCCCCAAGACACACATCCGCCAAGACCTCGCCCACCGTCGCTCTCGTTCGTTCCTGATTCACACACACGTGAAAGAAGTTGAATAGTGATTGAATGATTCTCACTCGTTTTTTATTGTGCTGCCAACTTGCCAAGACATCGCCCCACGTAATGCCAAAGTTTCAGAAGCTAACTGACGTTGGCGAAGCTCTCCGCAACATAAGGCATCGAGAGAAGTGATGTCAAGACGTCGTTGAATTGACAGGTGCGTTGGAGACTCAAGACTTTATAAAATCGAGTACACTAAAATTCAATCAAAAAGTTTGTAGGCCTATACTTGTCTGTAAGTATGGTCTGCGAAATGTGAATATATTAACCCAAACGGTCTTCAATCCTTCACCTGTTGGAGGACTGAGGACTGTTAGGGTTAATGAGCACACTGGAAGATTGACAGTTTGGCATTTCAAGTGTTCATCACCTCATCAGTTCCCTGCTTGGTGTACCTTTTGAACTTTGCATGTGCATCAGTTGTGACACTATTAAACCTCCATGGTGGCAAAGCAGGCACATCAAGGTCCAGTCACACGCGGTGTCATCTGCCACTTCAACCACTTGTACCATAGAGATTTTTCTACCCCCTGTCCATTGCTGCCTAGATTGTGGCCAGAAACTCCACAAGCACCATTCTCCTTTCGCCGTGAAGTATTACACCTTGTTCGGTGTAGTGGATGCCCAAAAATGCACCCGCCGTTGTAAACCATGTCGAAAGACTTACAAATACAACATGTATGGTAGCCGTGACCTGTCTTGGTCATAGTACCCAGAAGAGAGGAAAGCTGTGAAAGTTTCAGAATGTGTTTTTGTGGACCTGAAACTTTTCGAGTTTCAGTGCAACGTACTATCATGATTCATTGCTATGATTGCATTCATCCCTTTACCTGTGCCGCTTATATTGCAAGATACATGTCACCACTGTTGATTGACAGGTTCTACAAAACTCCAATGTCATGAAGATGAAAAGAGTTCCATACATGGGCAAAAGTTCAATCCCAGATCCAAAACCTGCTGGAGCGGTCTCTAAGTTTTGGTTTTTGGCAAACATTTCGAGCGGCAGGTTTATTTGATTTTGCCGATTTCAAAACCACTTTCTATTGCCACACTTTAAAGTGGAAAGTGTTTTCCAAGTATATATAAATCCTTCAGAATTTTCTGAGCCAACTTTTACTTTTTAAAACATTTCATCACTTTCTGATAGCTAGTATAACTGTGCGAAATGCAAACAATTACTGGTGGTAAAAATGCTCCCACAAAAATAAAAATTGTTTTGCTGGTAAGCCAAATAAAAAGGTTAGGCCTAAATATTAATAATTCTGTTCCAAAAATTACATTGCATTGGTCGTGCTGTTTAGCATCAACAAGCATTAACACACACAACTAGCATCAACAACGTGTCAACAACTTGAAAATACCCTCTACAGATGTAAAAGTGGATTTATCATAATTTAGGGAGTCTAAGACCTGCTACTGTGTACGAGAAACATCGAATTCGCTTCCAGATTCACCAAAAAACAAACTGTTTGCTTTCAGATTCTTGCCGAAGAACAAAATTTTTTGGCAATATATGGAGGCCGCCATCTTTCTTTGCTGTACTGTCCATGCAAAAACAAGATGGCGGCTGGTTGGGCTGTAAGAGCAGGTCCAAATTTGGCACTCAAATTTTCAGACTCATTTTCCATTACGTGATACATTGAATGTGATATGTAGGAGCCTTGCTAATATTGTACAGTGTAAATATAAAACATTAGTTTAAAAAGGGTCATGCTATTTAGTGTCAACGAGCATCAACAGTGTGTCAACTAAATATTCAAGCATTTTTATACAAATATTTTATATTTACAATATTAGTAAGGCTCCTGCATATCATATTCAACGTAACATATTATCGAAAATGATATTTGATGGTTGAAATTTGAGCGACAAAGTCGGGCCTGCTCGTGCAGCCCGACCGGCTGCCATCTTGTTTTCGCATGGACGGTAGAGCAAAGAAAGATGGGGGCCTCCATATCATGGTGATAATATTAACATAGGCCCTCATTAGTAAAAACTACAAACAATGTAAAAAATTAATAAGAAAAAATGACTTGGTTTGCTTTGGGTCTGGTGCAGTATTCTTTTTCACTTCACAGTAATTCTCCTTATATTTCATTTTGTACCGGTATGTGCAGGTGCCACTGTAGCTTACCCACTGAATTTCTGCCCACACCATTAGTTAATAATCTTGGTCCTGGTTCATGTAAGTGCATCGAGATGGTTGTTTGAGTTGGTCGTTGACTTGAGTTTTCCTGTGTTAAATGTGATTTCTTAAATTGCAATTTTAACAATTTTCATTTTTTATGGTGGTGTCATTTTCAAGCATTTTCTTGTGTCTGGCTCCATGTAGGTTTGTTTAATCCATATTGCACTGCAATGCATGCTTTTTTTTATGTTCACATGTAAACCCCTCATGTTAACCCCTCTGTAAACATTGGTTGAGTAGTAACCATAATTTAATGCATGCTATAACGATTCAAAAGCAATAAAGTCAGATTTTAACTCTTGTTCAAAAGTAATTCTTGGCCAGATGCCATATCTTAGGTTTATGTCATCTAGTTGGGCCGATCTAACCAAGCAGATCTGAACCCTTGTATTTTTTATTTATTCTTTGAGGGTATTTATAGAACCATTTTTGCGAAGTTTAATATTTTCTGTAAATTATGAATAAAATGTTACTATGTGAATTAACATCGTTTGAATTACCTTAATTATGTACGTTCCATCACACTTATTGGAATATGGTCTTTTGGTGACCCTTGGATTTTAACAGTTCAGAATGTGGCCACACTTTCAAAACTGGCATTTGAGATGAAAAAACAATGCAAGTGGAATACGTTCTTGTTTGTGAAAAAGAAAGTTGGGTTTGAACCCCATTCAAGCCAGCTTTTATTCACTCATACTTTGTTGAATCCCACTCCTTCAGGTTGTGCCAGCATCACTTACACCACCCCCTAAATTGGTGGCTAAATTGGTGAACGATGTGTGAAGGGAAGCCACAATGTTGAGGACACACCAGCTAATGACAGCATACTGCAGGGAGTACACTTACATGTATCTTGTCAGAAAATTGCAACACCCATAAGGAGCATAAAACTTAACAGGCCACATGCTTCAACCATATATGCACTCATGCACACTGGCAGGTGCACTTAACACAATCTTGTGAAATCTAAATTTGGAGGATTCCTAAAACAGTAAGGAGAACTACATGTATATGGTAGCTTCAAATAGCTTCAGCTTTGTTTACAAATACTGAAATGTAAAATTTTTCTTGACATTCGGGAGGTATTTCTTAGTGCTATGTTGCATAAAAATCCCTGATTACAAATATATAGGATTAAAAAAAAAATTGACAAATAACATGGACACTTTATCCCTGTCTCAATTTCGTGGAATGACACTCGTAGCACTGTTAAGCACTGAGTCAGAGGCATCTCAAATGAATTGTATAATTACAGCAATGTGAAATAGTTTTGAGCTTATTCACAAGTTAATTCATTTTTTTTTTATTTATTGCAATTCGTGGTGCAAAAATGATTTCAATTGACCAGCCATTAAACAGCCCAGTAGGATGCCTTGCTTGCTGCTTCTGCGTCTGTCTGTATACAATGCACTACTGGGCTATTCTGATATAGTTTGGGTGGGGTTCATGTGGCAGCAGCAAAAATTAAATTTTAAAGTAAGCAGGATGTTGTGTTTTCGAATCCTAGCCTGGCACACTGTGGAGTTTTTTCTCAGGGAAGCACTGTTGTGTTAATAAATGTTGCAGGAAAAAAAATGACAAGCCTACTTTATATTGCAATTTCCACATTTATTACATGTTACATGTACTTCCTTGAAAATTGAAATAGTTGATTTAAAGAATGAAGATTTTAGGAGTGTTCTTTAATCACTGATATTGATGCCAGAGTCCAAAAGTCGAGTATCATGACGACTAGTACACATTTCAAATGTGTCACATAATTTTGTACATGAGTACCTGCAGGATTTTTAAGAACTCTGCTCTATTCCACATCTTTAGGGAGACCACTGTCGTCAGTTATGCCACCTACATGAAAGCCTTTCGTCAATATGGACAAATTCAACCGAAAACGGCGTCATACAGGATGTTTTGATGAAACCTCAATTTTATTTTACAAATTGACAAAGTAGTGGATAGTATAATGTGTAATTTTCCAACATTTGGCTGGATATACGACACGAGAGGCTGCCATGACTCGGCGTTTATCGTAATTAGTTGTGGTACCAACTGTGTCTACTCCCACTCGTTGCTGGACTGCGTAAAATCCTGCAGTAGGATTACAAAGTTCTATAATTACGCAGTGACCGTCTATCACAGTAAAATGTTGAACGTTTATTTAATCTCAGAGTTTCGTTCATCATGTTCACTTTATAATTCTTTCAGTCTTTCTGCAGATCCAACCTTTAATTTTTTTTACTGTATCATTTCACTTTTACGAAGTTTGTTGTTATAGGTATATATACATGGGTAGGTCTTTATCATTGTATGGATATTCCATTTTATTTTAATCTATTTGCTCTTTTTTTTCCTCAATGTTTTTGCTCAAATCTCCTACCTTATTTTACCATTTCTGCAACTTGAATTTAGCGGTGATGTTATCATGTCTTTGGAAACTCTCATTTTAAAAGGTGGTGCATTCATTGCTTACGACGTTTCAAGTTAGCGTGAGGAGTTTCGTCAAGTGTGCTCCAGTTCGAATTGGATACACTTGGTGCTTGCAGTGACCGCAATGATTTTGAATTATACAGATCCCAAATTAAGTATGTCTTCTGCAAACACAAAGTTGCGACATTTTCTGGTTTATCCAGGGTCTGGGTCTCTCTTGGTGGCGCTACCATATGCACGTCGCCCAACGAGCTGTGTGGTGGGGGGATGCTTCACCTCAGACCCTAATAGTGCATTTCATCGAGCCTGCTCTCGGGTGGTTTGTCAGACCCAGTTCGACCGGGGTTGTTACATATTGCAGAGGCAGCATACAGCGACCCCCGCCCCATCAACGGCTGTACGTGCAACGTCTGATGTTGGCTTGTTTAGTATAGAAACAATTCGACGACAAAGCGTAAATGTGAAAGTAGGATTATACTTCAGTCAGGGAAAACTGACTTAAATTAAATTTTGTGAAACAAAAACTGATTTCCCTAGAAAATCAGAGACGCTGAAGTTTACAAACACAATAATAGCAGTAATTATGGACGTAGTGTATAGCATTTGAATAGAAAGGGTTACTGTTTTTACTACTCTTAGGGTATTATATCGGTTATGGAAATTTTAATGACGGTGAAAAATGTCCTGTTCTAACATTTCGTATCCAAGACATTTGCCTATATTGAAGAACCTTATACTATTGCATACACCATTTTGAGGAGTGTTCTCCTAAGTTTAATGTGTCACTGTGAGTGGCTATAGGACTAACGCTTGGCAAACGCTATATATATTCGGTTTTGGCTGAGCTTTAAATTGTATATATTGCTCTCAACCGGTTGAATGTGCATAAATCCTATGAGTACTTCACTATTTAAAGCGAGTGAATTACCTCTTAAATTTTGACAAGTTTGTGGGGTAAAAGTTGCTTAATTGCGGTTATCTGGTAGATGCAATACATGTATTTGTAATAATAACTTTCACGGCCTTTCTGGTTCCTGTGATTGCATTTTGGGAGCTTCTCCCTCCGTGTGTCAAGAAATGGTTATTGGAGGCACAGCGCCCTCATTGCCCACGTCCGTAAATGTGTAAATACTCTGCTTTGAATTTTCAAGTTCATGCATTTTACACTGGAACGGTAGTGTTGACTCTTTCAGATGTGTGGTTGTTATAAAGCATGATGTTGGAATTAAACCTTTCTAAAGAAAAAAATATATTTAATGGAGTTAAGTCTTGAAGGTTT